TAAATCTTTTTTTTTGGGGGGGGGGGGCAAAATTAAAATAAATAAAAAATAAAATAAAAATATGTTTTGGTACTCCGGTGTCAATGTGTTGGTTCAAGAATTTTATTTGTTCAGGGATTACATTCATTTACTAATTAAACCAGGGTAGTGAAACATGACTGAGACTTAACAAAGTTGCTCATAACCAATAGGGCAAAGAGGGGAGAAACTAGAACATAAGCCAAGGGTCGATGCATGTTTGTGTGGGTAGGGGTGCAGATTTCAAGAAGGTGGGAGGGGTGTATCATTAAAATCTTGTCTCCATGATCAGGATGTGAAAGATATAGGTTATGTTTACACTTGTACCAGATAGCCTTCCATACATCTACTATACATGTTGAAGAATTAAACACTTGGTATTTTTTGGGCAGTTTATTGTTTTCGGGAAGCATGTTCAAGAGGAATTTTTGGGAACCAAATTCCTATGGAAAACATGGGTTACCATGCTCCCTAGTGATGTACCGACTTTATTTTTTATCTTGTCTACCTTTGTCAAACAGGAAGTGGTTGAAATTAATGACCTGATTTTTCACATTAGATACCAACCGTGACAGCTGACAGCACATCAGGACTTCAAATTGTCTTGCTAGAAAACGAACAGCAAGTTGAAAGCTTATATTTTCACGAATCCTCAGATTTGACCATCAAAGTGCAGGGCGATGGTGTCGAAGAGAAGGAATATGCCGCAAATCCACCCGCAGACGCTGCAGCTCATCGTCAGTTTGTTGCACACTGGGTAACAAATGAAGGCGGCGTTCAGCTCAAAACTGAGAAAGTCGTCCGTGAAGGAGTTTTTCCGTATGCCGAGGAGGAGCTTAAGGAGGCGCAGGAGAAAGATCGGCAAAATGCTGACAAGGCTTTTAAGGTTCTCGAGAAAGAATTTATGAAATCTAGGAAAAAGTGATATGACTGTGCACTGGCTGTATTACACAAAGCAAAGCAGCAATAATATAGCCTTAGGGGTTGATGTAACCATAGTGTAAACCAGATCATCATTGCACCACTTTTAAGGAGTAATGGCATGCATGTTTTGATACTTTTGCAATTGTAAATTTAATTAATTGTTTGGTGTATAAATTGTAAAGTATTACATATGTATTATTTACAAAGTTTCTTTTGTGTTGTGATATTAGCTTATTTCATGTTTTAAATAAATATCTTTCTCTACCCAAAAGTGGACCTTTGGTGAAATATTGGAGTTGCAACCAACATAGTTAACTACCCTAAATCTAAGTGATATTATGCTCCCTTGTCACCACACCTCAAAAAGCAATTAACAAATTATTGAAATAAGAAAATTAACAATAAAAAGCAATTAACAAATTATTGAAATTAAGAAAAAAACATAATTAGAAAATGTGGAAAGAAAACGAATAAATTTTCCAAGGTTGGCAGTGGAGTCTTGAGCAGGGATAAAAACTTCCACAATAATATTTTCCTTTCCATCAGAAAAATGATGTCATATCCATCGGGGAACTGAGAACAGCATAATCGAGAGATCATTATTGACATAGCTGACTTGACCCTGACTGATTGCCCTTATAGGTAAGTGAAATATATTATATTTCCTTTCTAGTGTTAAAATAAGAAGGTCAATGCTCGTCAAGTTTGTCGCTCAGTTGGTTAGAGCGCTGCACCGTAATTCTGCCAGAGGGGCCTACAGTTGCAACTGCTCCTGGGAAATATATAGCAAAGTTAGCACGAAGCTAGCGTCGTACCAATGCTATTGCTCTTGACAATTTTCTGAAATCCAGCTGGATTTGTTCTATATGGCTATAAATGAATGCCCGAGTATGCCCGTTCGCAGCTTAGAAACCGAAATTGTTGACGCCTGGGTGAAACGTGGAAATAATTCACCTGCAAATAAACAGGGTTAGGTCTGAACTTGCAGCTTTGAGCGCAATCTCGTACCCAGAGTATGCCCGTTCGCAGGTCAGGTGCTGGGCATGCCCAGATAAGCGGTTTCTGTCAATTGGGCCAATTTCGGCGTAAATAATAGAAATATTATAAATTAGGTTATTCCGTAATTATAAAAAGATCGTAAATGCTTATTAAAGTAAGTATAGATTTTTATTTCAAAATCATTAAAGTTTCGAGTATAGGATTACTGGGACTGCACGTGTATGAATTACAGGAATGAAAGTATCACTATCTCGACATATCAATCACGCTAGTAAGGAATTTCCGTATTTTCATGTCATCAGTTGAAACTGTTGACGTTTCGACCCAACTCAACCAAGGCCGTTTATCAGAACTTCTTTCCAGTAAATGAAAACAAAATAATCGATCATACAAATGTCGCTCTTAGACTTGATTTACATATTTTTCATCAGACAAAATTCTATCCAGAAAAGGATGTTTATACAACAACTTAACACACTCTGAATTGTCTAAATGACAATCAGATGGCATGTTCCATGTATTAAAGACAATTTACAATATTTGAAGTCCAAATTTACGCTATAAGGCTATATTCTACAGATGATATCTCCGAAAATCGGTTATCAATTCCTCATTGTCCAATGAAGTGCTGAAAATAAACTAAAGCTGCCCAGAATAAGCTATTCATAATCACTGCTTTGTTCAAAAATATTTATAAAATTTTTTACTGGCAAAAAGGAAGACAAGCGCCACGATTATCTAGTATCGGATATCAAAGGACACTTGTCGGTAATCGATATCCCTGTCTTAATTTTAATAGCAGCGCTTGCCCTTGGCCCCGTTGACTAGCTTTGAAACGTTTTGAACTATATTGTATAGCCCATAAAAATGTATAGATTTTTATTAAAAATAAACACAGTAAGACCCTTCATAGAATTTATCGCGAAAAATCTAGAACATGGAATTTCGACCGAATGTTTGCAGCTGTATTTGTTGAAAAACAAAAATCAGTCCGCAGGATCTGTCTCGGGATCTGCGTGGGAGAAGCAGTAAAACACGGAATGTAATCTGGACTTTTGTGAAACATAACGCTAGTCTAGATTTATTTATTTATTTTGCTCAAACATAGTAAAAAATGCTCTAAATAATATAAAAGGTATATTTACAAAATTAGGGTTGGGAACCTACCAGAAACCAAGTTTCATAATATTCCAATGAAGACTCGAGTTTGAATGCTTATATTAATTTTAAAACTAGATAGTTAACTAAGATAAGATAAAGATATAAAACTATAAGTATAATACAAGCTATACATACATATTTTACAAGTTAATAAAGAATTTATAGTGCTCATCAGAGTGCATCAGAATATGAATGGGATTACTATAGCTGTTACGAGACGGGTTTAAAGTTTAAAGTTTGGATTTAGGATTAGTGAGAAAAACTTGCTTATCTTCATGTTCCAAATTTGTGATACATTTCAGATGTTATACTCAGCCTCCATTTGCATGAAAATGGTAACCGATCTGAGACCCGATAGATGGCGACAACTGTTCAAACAAACCTTAAAGATCCTTAAAAGACTGTTTTTCAGTTTTCTGTTAAAGTGTCGACCATACTCCATAGCTATATAAAGTAAATAATGTTAAATGATCTGAAATGTTACTTCACACCTAAGTTTTCGTAAATAGATAAAAAACAGAATTAACATTCCCCAATTGCCTTATTATCTGAAATCAGCTTCATGTTTTCTGAAATCAAAAGTATAATGTGTAAATCGCATGTTCAGCACGTTATCACAAACATGATCACAAAATTTGAATTCGAAGATAAGTATCTGAACTAATATATATCATCAGCACTGATGAAGATCCAGACTTGCGGATCGAAAGCTTTGCAAATAATAGATTTATACGGGTGTGTCCACAAACCAAAACTGATATCCGTGAACTTATTTGTACTCCGACGTGCATGAATCCTTAAACTTCATACTTCGATGGGCACTAATTCTAAATCTGAACATCTCAAACTCTCTGATTCAAGGGAGTCTAAACTAAAAGTCTAAAACTAAGTGGATTTGAAATCTAACCAAAGAAATTGTATCCAGGACTAACCTGAAAATAAGGAATCTCTGACTGTAATCAAATTAAATCTTAATCCTATACCTGAACTCTAATCCAAGCTCTAAGCTGACAAAACTCTTTAGACTTTCAAATAAAGTTCAGTTATCAGTCTCTACATTGACTTTAACCTTTACTTCATGCTTTATTTTAAACTGTTGAAGGGTTTCTTTGATGGAATATACGATTTTCAGACCTAGCCTGGAGCAGCTGCAAAAATGCAACTATAGGCCCTCTGGGCTCTGGCGGGAAGCGTGTGAATGCCCAAAGATGAAGACGGAAGCGCCTTCAGTCTCGCAACATCAAAGTTCTCCTTATAGACCCCCTTATATTTTTCAGGTTGTTGTATCTCTCATGATCGACAGCTCCAATTTCGGAACTTGTACTCTTTCGTGGAAATTGTGCCTCAACATGCTCAACGATTGATTTCATGACTGTGTTTATACTCTTTCCTTTGTACAAAAAGTAAACTAAAGCTCCCCCGAATAAGCTATTCATAGTCACTGCTTTGTTCAAAAATATTTATAAATTTTTTTACTGGCAAAAAGAAAGACAAGCGCCACGATTATCTGGTATCGGATGTCAACGGCACTTGTCGGTAATTTCTTGGAACTTGTGCAGCTAAAACTCCCAACATGCTCGAAGATATTCGATTTTGTGACTGTGTTTATATATACTCTTTCCTTTGCTCAAAGTTTTCTTTATCTTCGCCCACGCCTGACGCTAGTCAAAATAAAACCAAAACAAAACTTGATCTCAGTATAAAATGAGTCCACGTTTTCCAACGACGCGTCACCTGGCCAGAAGTCGAGCAGCACGACACATCAATAAATATCCTCCGGGCACATAAGACTTTAATCCACCGCTTAGCACATGCTTTCATTTCCATTCCATCTGTGCTTGTTGCAGTGCGACCGCTTGCACCCTATATACATATATAATTATATATATAGCCTGTACCACTGCGCTCCACACACACAAAAGCGGTGTTTTGAAACTCGCTAACGGAAGAACGCCTGATATTCAAATTGACATTACGGCATATTAGCGTTTCACAGCTGTCTTTGTTGATTGGATAAATAATAGCGCTTGGTGGTAGGCAAGCATATCGAGGCCAACGACAGGTCTGTGAAACGGTCTGTTCTAGGCAAACAAAAGTAGTTGCGGTTACGATAAATTATAGCCCGAAATGAATTATAGAACAATCCAGCATCGGGAAGACGAGTTATTGTTGTCGAGTATTAGGAAAACAGCCGAGGAGACCGAAACTTCGAGCCGAACTGAAACGCCAAAGAGACAATCGGAGAAAGAGAAGCTTATAAACAATAGCGAACCAGAGAATACAGCATTAGCCGAGAACCAAAGACACATTGAAGGGAAATCAGAATCTACTGTATCGAGCGATGCTAACCAGAATACAAGTTACGGCAGTTACCTAAGCCGTGATATCAGTGAAATACAAGACCTATATACAAGTACGACATCAAATAAATGGATTTCGTTCGACGAGTCTAACACAAGTCATTATAATGATGTCGTAGCACCCAAACAAACCTCCCCTGCGACACGAACAGGGAATAGCGATCCTGGGACTCTGCTGAACGAAAGCGATTGGGAACAATTCAAAATGACCAGAGAGAGTGATGTCTGTAATGAGATCAACTCGAGTTTGCCGAAAGGGGATATCGTCACGTATGCGCCGAAGGAAAGCGGCAACGAATCGCAACAATCGAAAGGTAATTTGCAACATAGAGATACCTCAACCAACCCTTTTAATAACTCTGAACTTGAGCGTATCAGTTCCTTTTCAAAATCGGCGAATGGTATTTCATCAAAGTCTATTAAATCGCCATCTTTAAAGGAAACAGCAGGTACAGTTTTATATAGCAACGTTGACAGTGCACCTGTAACTGAGCCGGATGAAAACGATCTAAACAGCCCTCTACCTGCATACCCTGTGAAACCCACAAATACAACATGGTCAATGTTACTTCGGTACCCCGATACCAAGCGACGGATCCAAGGTAGGGAATGGCGGCCGGTTACCATCAAACTGAATGGATCGATCCTACAGCTATATGATGAACATGATCCTTCAGCACCATTCCGAGAAGTTTCCCTTCAATGTTTCTATGACTTGACCAGACCCCAGCTTCAACATTACCATGGCAGCAAGGTGCATACAGTTAAGATTCTTTACGTCAAGTACAAGGAAACAAATAAGTTGATATCGAAGAAGAACGTTCAATATATATCTAAGTCCATGCCAATCCTAAAGTTGGCATCGTCATCGCATCTGGTTATCCAAGAGTTTATCGAAGTTGTTCGTCATGCTATAAGATCCCTGCCCATATTTCGAGATCGTGGTATCAGTCATAATACAGAGGCTGTGTATATTAATGTCCATGATACATGTTCGGCTCTAATAGATGCAACCGGTTCGGTTCTGATGTTGGGCATACTCGTGAGGATATACATGCGTGCCTTCATCAGTGGCGACGCGGAATGTGAATTGGTTCTTAACGATATCCATATGAAGACCCAAGAAGAAGCCCGGCTCCGGGGAGAGATGATGCCGCAACGAGTCCACAAGTGGATTAAGTTGGAAGAATGTGATCTCCACAGCACCGTCAACTCAAATACATACAACCAGGACCGCTGCATCATGCTACATCCACTAGATTCCTGCACCTTCGAAGTGATGCAATTCCGTGTCCGGCCAGCGAAACCCCTTCCTCTGCTTGCCAAATGCGAACTGATTGTGGACACTCACAGCCGAGTCGAGCTACGAGCTGAAGTGAAGCTTTCCAGCGATCCAAAACTTGCAAAATATGAAAGAAGAAATATATGTTTGTATTTCCCAATTCCAGATGCATGGGTGCAGTTATTCATGAAGGAAAAGCGATTCCGTGGTGAAAAGAGTATTACCTCCACTAACTCCCAGAAAGCCATCAAGATGAGAAACAGGAAGAATCGACCATTAACGACCATCGAAGTATCCACTGGAATTGCAAAGTACGAGCCTGAGTATAAGAGTATTGTATGGAGAATTAACAGTCTGCCTCTTCTAAATACCACGGCACCTGCAGATTCAACACATGATTTTCTATGTCATATACAAACTATGGACTCTTCCAGTTTGCCCGACGACTATAAGCCGGCATGTGTGATGGAATACGAGATCCCATATACCGTCGCATCGGATACGAATGTTGTGAATTTCAAAGTGCTGGATAAGAAAATTGCCATAAAAGAAGTGTCCTACCATACATACTATACCTATGAAATACAGATGAACATGACCAATCTTAATGGTGGCCTATATTGTGACAGTTGATATATCATCAATGAGGAACAATAAGTATACTGAAATGGTAAGATATTTCATATTTTTGTTGTATGTGGTGAAATTGTGGTGGTACAGTGGTTCCTGTTAATTTTAGGTTGTGCCTCCTGCAATATGCAATTGTCTCATTATACTTTCCCTCAATATTGCTTGTGAGAAGAGTGCTTACAGTATAGCAAGGTATCAAAGTTTCTGTGATCACAGTAGGAATTTTGCATAGGTAAATTCTAAGTTTTGAAGGATTTGTAAGAAATGTTTGAGGAAAGTGACTTAGTGTTAAACACTGAATCACTTTCCTCAAACATTTCTTATAAATCCTTCAAAACTTAGAATTTACCCATGCAAAATTCCTACTGTGATCACAGAAACTTTGATAGTGTAAACTGGCTTATGATTCTACCAAACATCAGATGTTTTCTCCAAAATCTTTGGTTTCCTTCTCTAATAAATCTGGACCAATAAAGAATGTCTTTACTAAACCTATAGTGAGAACAGTTCAGAATTCACAGAGCTCAGATCCAGTATATAAATAAAGTTAATTAAGGGCTTATATCTTTAAAACCTTGAAATACCATTTTAATGTGCAGCAATCCCTCTAAAACCTACGTCATTTTAATCTATTTTCAAACATCAGTTTTTACACTTTATCTAATTATTGCATCACTTATTATTATAGTTAATTTGACCTTCTGAGTGCACTGAATAATTCAACTTTATCCTGAGTGCATTGCATTTAAACAAAAAAACCTGATGAGATCATAAGTTAGAAAGATGTTGCACCTCAATATAAAAAAAAAATACTAAAGAGGGTTTCTTGAAATTTTAGAATTTTTAACTTTGGCAATAGTATTATTTGATATTACAATATATTGCATAAATAAATGATACCCCACACCATGCCCTCTGGAAAAATACACATGATCACAGTGGGTTGAACATTTCAATAAGGTCATGGCCCATGGGTACAAATTCCATTCCTTAGTCCATTATCAACTAAAGTTGAATTCATTTTGCTATGAAATGTTTATCTAATATGGTTTACAAAATTGGCATAACAAAAGAAAATCAACACCTCCGTGATAGTCGGTCATAAATTGATTAAACGTCCGTGTTAAATTTCTCTTTACGTTTAAATGCTGGTTTGAAAAATTATATCACACTGTACACGCAAACTCTTGTACTAATGCACGTTTACACTTGCAATTATTTGCTGCCATTTCTATAGTGCGATTTTTTTCTTCAAGAATAGATGAGTTATGAATGTTCTAAAGTATCCTGATCCGAACATTCATAACTCGTCCACTCTCTGAAGAAGAGAAACGCACCTAAAATCGAAAGTGCATAAATGGGCCTTCACAGTGTCTCTAAAACACCTTGAGGTCTATTGAAAAACTTGGCTATCGGCTCGTCTATCAATACACTTTTAAATTGTTCACATCACGCTAATTTCAAACACATTACCTTTTACTAAAAATACATTTGAAAACCTGAAATGAATTTTCCAAATGTTAATTATTGCTTATGGTTTCCTCAACATGAGTGCATTGAGCTGATATTAACATCACAGAAGTCCCCGCTGTGTTGTGTCTGACACACCGACCTTTGAAAACAATCGTGAAAGCAAATGCACCGAGAATGTTTATACATGTACACATATATCAAATTATGATTCATGTTTTTTTCTTAGTATATTCCTTAGATATTTCAGTATTCGATGAATACTAGCATATTATGAGTCAACAATCTCAAGACTCTCAACACGTACATATAGGCGGAACCTTATTGTTACGAACGGTTATTAATACGAGTAAAACACAATATAACAATATAAGCCATATATAGGCCATAAGTACCACTCAAAGTCCCAATTTGGTTAAGTAAAACCATTTACCACAAAACAATTTCTTTCTTAATAAGGCCGAGACATACCTGACGCGATTTGACAACGCGACTTTTTCATTTTTTGAAAGTTCATAAAACAGTCAATGAAAGGAAATTTTAAAAGATATGTACAGTAGACCAAATAACTCAAAATGTTATAGCGCTTCTAAATAGTTGGAAAACTTAAACCAGGATCAAAGTTATCGGTCAGTGAAAATCGAAAAATCGCGTCGCGTTGTCGAATCGCGTCCGGTGTATCTTTTATTACCAATGTAATTCCCTGATGGATTTTTTTCATGGCAGGACCGGCGCCGGTCTTTTCTAATTTTTTATTTTAATTTTTTTAATATATATATCGAATTATGATTCATGTTTTTTTCTTAGTATATTCCTTAGATATTTCAGTATTCGATGAATACTAGCATATTATGAGTCAACAGTCTCAAGACTCTCGACACGTACATAGGCGGAACCTTATTGTTACGAACGGTTATTATTACGAGTAAAACACAATATAACAATATAAGTTTTTTTTATTAAAATGGGTCATAAGTACCACTCAATTTTGTTAAGTAAAGCCATTTACCACAAAACAATTTCCTTCTTAATAATGTGCTAAGTGGTTATATTACTACCTTAAAAAACAAGCAGAAACTCGAAGTTTCTGCTTGTTTTTTTTAAGGTAGTAATATAACCACTCAACACAGCATTTTCACATTGGTACTACCTACACTGGTACAGACAGTTTTTGTATATATCCTTCTTAATAAGGCCGAGACACTGACCTGACGCGATTTGACAACGCGACTTTTTCATTTTTTGAAAGTTCATAAAACAGTGAATGAAAGGAAATTTTAAAAGATATGTACGGTAGACCAAATAACTCAAAATGTTATAGCGCTTCTAAATAGTTGGAAAACTTAAACCGGGATCAAAGTTATCGGTCAGTGAAAATCGAAAAATCGCGTCGCGTTGTCGAATCGCGTCCGGTGTATCTTTTATTATTGCCAACGTAATTCCCTGATGGATTTTTTTCATGGCAGGACCGGCGCCGGTTTTTCTCCAATTTTTTATTTTAATTTTTTTTTTTTTTTTGGGGGGGGGACAGTTATCCCATGCCCCATGTCTCGTACACCTTTGGGCTAAGGTAAGACTTTGATAGCAGGCTAAGATTCGAAGCAATGAACATTATACTTTGAGTGATTGTACTGGGTTCTGAAAAATGTAATAACTTCGACGTTTGAGGGCCATTGCTTGAAACGTTGGAATTATATTTTATCTCCGTTTCATCGTGTGAGGCCAAAATATTTTTTTCATAATGACGTCAAACGTAGACAAAATCTTAATGCGATGTTTCACGCAGCCATTTATTGAAGGTTTTTCAAAAATCCTGAATACCTTCAATAAAATAAAACGCCTGCGACACAGGCTATGTTTCACGGGGAATGTTTAATGACAGTAGACACTTCCTGAATATGCTGCATTATAATGAAAACTACTAAATTACGCTGGATTACATTGTCCGGCTCGATTTAAATGACTGTTGTTTACGTGCGCGCTCTCGTGTGCGCTCTGGCCAATTGGTAAGGCTGGTGTCTAGTTGCAATGCGAATGATGATGCTACTGCCCAGGCCCTACTGCATTATGGGACGGCCTTCCCTTGAGGCACGAGGGCCTGATGTTACGTGGTATTTGATTGATTAGGCAACGATTTGTTGTTGAACAGTGGGGAGCCGCGAAAGTGTTTATCTGCGTTTGAAGTCATTGTGAAAAAGATCGATTTAGTTAGCCTATTATTAACCAGTAAAGAGCTCATCATAAAATCATCTGAAGTTTGATAGAATGCTGCAGGTCTAGAAAATATATATTTCTCTCCTGCCAGTAAAATCCAAGAATAAGAATTCCCTGTGTATTACACAGTCAAATATAAAACTTCCTGCATATGTAGATTTCAGAGAACGTATGCGGATGCCGCGCATTCCCTTCAATCTCGGCTCGCAAAACGCAAATTAGGAATTTTTAGTAAAATATAAAAAGTGGAATTTTTAGTAAAATATAAAAAGTGGAATTTTTAGTAAAATATAAAAAGTGGAATTTTTAGTAAAATATAAAAAGTGGAATTTTTAGTAAAATATAAAAAATGGAATTTTTAGTAAAATATGAAAAGTGGAATTTTTAGTAAAATATGAAAAGTGGAATTTTTAGTAACATATAAAAAGTGGAATTTTTAGTAACATATAAAAAGTGGAATTTTTAGTAAAATATCAGTAAAAAGTAAATATAAAAAGTAAATTTTATGGCATTCCAGTATATAGAGACAAAAAAATTCCTGCAAGCTGTAAGAAAATTTCCTGGAATAATGAGTGCGTGTCTGCCCTTTCCCCCCCTCAAAGAGCAGATGGAAATGCGGGACAGTTGGCACATCTGAACTTGACAGGTCTGTACATTTACAACGAGATGTCACGAATGTTGACCTTCTATCCACAATGTATTCACGATCAATAGTTAGACAGTTTGTTCTTGGTAAATATTTAGTCGAAGTCAAAACAATATTTGTTGTCTATGTCTATATGCGGGAAAGGTTTTTCCAACAACCGAAAGTTTGGCCTTCTAGAAATTTTCATTTAACGACGTTTACCTCCGCGGAGTGCGCACGATTTGATAATTTTTAAATTGGAATTAACATTTTTTAATTAAAAAGCTGAAATGTAAGTGAATAAACAAATAAATTAGTTTTGAAAATCTCCGATGCAGGCACAAAGACTCGTAGAAAGGTTAAACTTAAAGCATTTCCGGCGATGTTTTGGGTGAATGCCCTTCCTTACAATTTAAAACTTTAGTACCCAAAAACAAAGAGCTTAATAGTAATATTAATAATCTCTTCTTCATTCAAACACTTAATCATTTTTGACGCATTGTCAAAACCTTTGCAACATTATTCATTTACAGTGATGGCATCGCCTAAATTTTAATTGTCATGGATATTTAATGGGGGATTTGTACTATTTACCTAAGCTGTCTTTTAATTACATTGTCCGTGGCTCTCCCTATTGTTGAAGGATTATTTGCTCTTTTATAATTATATTTACAATTTGTGTTATAATACCCCCTCGATATAATCTATGCTCAACCGAGAAAGCTTGTACTATCAACAATATTACACTATCAAAGTTTCTGTGATCACATGAGTAGGAATTTTGCATAGGTAAATTCTAAGTTTTGAAGGATATGTAAGAAATGTTTGAGGGACCTGACTTAGTGTTAAACACTGAATCAGTTCCCTCAAACATTTCTTACAAATCCTTCAAAACTTAGAATTTACCAACCCAAAATTCCCACTGTGATCACAGAAACTTTGATAGTGTCCAGCCTTTAATGTTTATATATTAGTTAATGCGCCTGTTACAAAAGACTAAACTAACTATTTTTATACATGATAGCTCTATCACTTCTAAACTGTTCTCCATAGAGGTCCAATAAAAGTCAACTCTTATTGGTCCAGCTATATTGCAGTGCCGCAGCCAGCTCGATAATTGGGGGGCAAATATTAATATATTCGTGTTCATAGACCGCAAACAATCAGTTCAAAAGAATTAACGCAGAACACGCCCCCCCCCCCCCCAATTATCGAGCTGGCTACGGCACTGCTATATTGTAACTGCAGGAGGAACTACACTGGTTGTAGAGATGTTTTGTGGAGAAATAATATTTTTTACTCCTTTAGGTAGCTTCTTTTTCGAAATCATTTTCTCTGGACGGAAACATGGCATACACAGCGGTGTTGTGTGCTATGGATGACGTGGAGGACCTCGTGTGGATTAGACAAAGTTAAGACTACAGGTGTATATTTAGTTTTTAAGAGATAAAGTGTTTAAAGCAAAGTATTTTAGAAAGTATCCATTCATGCAGGAATCTGAACAAGAAGCATATACACATACAGTTGACACCAACATTTCGATTAGTCCCATCAGTCCAATCATGTTTCATGCCAAGGGGCTGTTCGTATGGAACTGGGATGATTCGTTTAACAAGGCTCTTATCACAGCTATGATAAACATCCAATGATTTAATTTTATTTATAAACTTCACAATCAACAAAACGATTGAAGGTACAGACAACAGGACTGAGGAGTTCCAAATTAAGTCCTACCTACAGTCCTACACATTACATTAGAGAGTTTGAGCAAGAGAACGAAATCGGACGACGACGACGTGTTGACAATTTTTGCCTGTCTTGCACATTATCTTGCGCATTCTAAGTTTAGGGCCAGGAGTGAAGACAGATTAGAGATTCATGTCTAGCTGTTTATGAATGTTGACCCAAATCCTTATCCTGATCGGGATAAAACAGCGAGACATGAATCCATATGCCGTCTTCGTTCTTCTGCCTTCGTTCACAACGAATATTTTGGCAAAATTCGTTGTGAACTTCGTTCTGCACGAAGGCACAAGGACAAAGACGGGATATAGTTTCATGTGTCGCTGTTTTTTTATGCATCAGTGCAAGAATTATGGTCAGTATTCATAAACAGCGACACATGGGAAGACACGTTGAGCAACCACCAGTGATGTCCAACACAGTATGCACAAGATAATGCGCAGACGGCAAAAATTGTCAAGTATGCCTTCGTCTTCGTACTTCGTTGTCTTGCTCAAACTCTCTATTGATATTGTGAAACAATAGAGACAGGCTTACAAACTTTAACAAAGCTACAACACAAAATTACAACACACGATCAAAGCGTTCCAAACCATCCTTACACTTTCTAAAGTTAATATAAACTAGACATGGACCGCCCATATATTGCAGTCCTTTCTAAGTCAACTACCTTATAATGAAGAGACCTGAAAATTGCAAAGAAAATTTGCGAAATGACCAAATTACAAAAAAAAGTGATCAAATGATGAAATTTCAAAGTTCAATTCGCTTAGTTTGATTCCAGTAATTGCATGTATAAAGTTCATTCATGTTTTATGGTCAGGGAAAATATTTCGTGACATGAGTCATCCTGGGTAGCCTGGCACATATGAATAGCCCCGACGGCCCAAGACCTGTCAAATTTACACATATATAGCTACCACTTATTTTGAGAAAGGTTTTGAATACCTTGGAAAGTTTACAGGTTATATGGTGCCAACGAAATGAAGGTCTGAGCAAAATGTAAATACGCAGACAGCGAGAGTTCCGCGTTCACATACGTGGTACTTGGCTGGGAACAAATAAATACCAGACCGTAATATTAATTATCGCATCCTACTTGACGAAGAATACATACTTGAACTTGGTTGAAAAATTTTAATGTAGAGATGACAACTGAGATATTTATACATTAGAAATCTAGTTGTGTATTTGTTAGTGCTGCAGACCTGCTTGGAGAAAGTGTGTAATGTTTGTCTCAAATTGGCCTTGTCAGGGTTCGTAGCGGTCTTTGAAATCCTTGAAAGTCTTTAAATTTGAATGCAGGTCTTTATTTCCCCAAGTCTTTGAATTGTGTGAAAAAGCGAAGAAAGTCTTTAAAAGTCTTTAAATTCCTTAGTGAGTATTTGATTATACGATTTCCTAGCTAATAAAATAGATGGATTGAAGCAAGATTTTTGCAAATGTCGACGAAAATGCGCATTTTAGGATGTGATTTGACGGGACTAATTACTGGGTAAAAATGGTGCTTACACTCGCAATTTTTCGACAGCTGATTGCCTTCAAAGGTCTTTGAAAAGTCTTTGAAAATAGGCAGAACAAATCTTTGAAAGTCTTTGAATTTTTTTGGTCTTGGAGACTACGAACCCTGCTTGTTCAAATGTTCCTCAAAAGTAGTACATGCAACGACGTTACATACAACTAATTTTGTAGTTGGAAGTTTCGAGTGTGAATTTTATACATTTATTACACCTAATAACCAGGAGCGGAAAATGATTCCAACCCAAGGTATGATTTTTGCTACGTGCAATCACAGTTATTTTAATAGATGGTTTGGAGACTCGATGAAAGTACAATATAAGTCATTAACTATGTTATTGTCCAGTTTATGCAAGAATTTGGTCCTATCTTGTCACGTGTGTATTGTATTTCCGCTCAAATAACCAATAACAAGTTTGTGGTTGAGTTATCCATCCGTAACTTGAACAAATGCTCAATTTAAACGTTGCTATTGGTTGTGCGGGAAAAAATACAATACACACGTGACGAGATTGGCTCAAATTCTTGCATAAACCTAAACCAACATAGTTAATGAGTTATATTGTACTTTCATCGAGTATCCAAACCATGTATTCTATTAACTGTGGTGCAATGTTTGGATCATTCTAAGAAGAAGTGTAATATATTTGTGAAAAAAACTTCATCGACTTTTTCACTGGACTTTGCCAGATATGATGAATTGCAAGTTAGTTTCCCTTCGTTCCTTTGCTGCAAAAATTCCTCCACTATTAGCCATTTCCCAAAGTCCTGGGTCTAGATCTAGTCGCGCAAATCCCATGGTGGAGGGACAAGAAATATGGCAGTACACATTTAAATTAAATGGTCGTCTGAAAAGTTGATTTTGATAGTAGATACTTCTACTCTTTCACATATTTGAGGCCTGCCACCATATATTTCGTCCCTCCAAACGATCCCAGAATGCACTGTGATCTCTTTTGGGAAAAGGCTAATTGACATCATATCCAGCCTTTTGACAGGGGAAAAAGTTAGTCAAGACGAGGTTTTTGCTACAAAGATATATTACATTCCGTCTTATAGAACGACTTGAATATTACACTTATGCCAAAATTCATTTCGAGGTAGTGACACTTTAAGATTCTTCCATAATCTGTATGTGAAAATGTTCCTAATTATTTTGCTAAGGCATGCAAACCAGGATACCGAGTTTCCACTTTATTCAGGTCTGAAAGTTTTCATTGTTTGACAATCATGTTAGCTTACCACAGTAGGAATTTTGCATAGGTAAATTCTTTGAAAGTTTTCCAAGAATGTTTGAGGGAACTAACTTAGTGTTAAACACTGCAAATCTTGCAAATCCTTCAAAACTTAGAATTTACCTATGCAAAATTCCTACTGTTTGATCACAGAAACATTGATAGCGTAAACTAGCTTTTAACGCTTTTCAAGACGTTCGAGGTAATCAAAGTATCACTTTGAGTGTCTCCGCTTTTGTGGGTTCATAGAAAGGAACTCTCTATAATGTGACGGCTGCGTTTTAGCAACGACATAGTGTACTTATAAATTATAAAAAAAACGAAGTAGTAGATGACAATAGAGATAATATATGGTTTTAACATCTTACCCAAATAAATAATGCACATATGCTGGTCAAAGTATTCAACAATTTATGGCGAACCTCAACAGCGAAAGTTGCCATTCTCTGATCAGTTTTCTCACGCCGGAGTATCTTGGATTTCTTAAGTTACAAATTATTCCCCGATTTACGGGTACGGGTACGTGTATATCACCCGTACCCGTAAACCGGAATCGGGGTATCTTAACCTCTCTATTGATTATAAGTGGCACTTTCATGTTTTTAACCATTTGGGAGGAGAAATTTTCCTTGCAAGAATTTTTTTGAAAGCTTTGTCGAACTGTTTTTTACGGTGTAGAAGCTGTGAATATTTTTTCAAATTCTCTAGCTTCTTTGCATCATTTTTTTTTTATCTGCCAGCCCCCGACCCCCCCCTGCAGGATATCCAATGGACCACCCATTACATATGTTTTCACGAGGAAGGGGGAGATCGATATGTGCAACAGAAAACTTAGCACACACCCCCAGTTCCACAGAAGAAAACGTTAGTGTCAACTGTTTTATTTGCACTGATGACGATCCGAGCTTACGTACCGAAAGATATACGTGGTTTTTCCACAAAACAGAACAACTGTTGTTATTTCGCCATAAAAAAAAACATAAAGGAACTCAGTGTCAATCCATACTGAAATGTTCCTAATTTACTGTAGTTTTAGCACACCGTCGTTTTCATCTAATCGCAATGAGCATTTGAAGGTTTTAATGAGCTTAACCAACCATTTAAATTGAGTGGCGTTAAGTTATTTAATTTGCTGGTCAGATTAAAACATGTCAAGTCACTCAAATGCCATTGGAAACCTAGACATTTCGCGTGAGACCACCGAACGAGGTTGACCCGACAGAAAATGACGTTAATTCTTCTCATCGTATGTAGTCGTTTTGCATTCGGTAGAAAATAAATAGAAACGACAGTTCTGTTTTTTTCCTGCTCCACAGTTCGGTTCAGTAGGTGATGACCACAATAACACGCGGCGACTGTTCATTGTTCGATGCAAACGACGGTAATTGCATTTAGAACATAGAAGTGAAAGAGACTGGGACCAGCCAGACGAATTAGTTGGACTTACATGAAGTATTGTCTTTTAGTCCATATTCAAGATGGCCGAAGCAGAAGGAGCGAGCAGTGTCAACATTCAAAATTCACCCGGTGGTAATAAAGCAATCTTGAGAATTAAAAGGAAAAGAAGCGCAGATCCAGCGGATATATTATGTAAGTATATATGTCGTATAATTTTAGCGCTTGATACTACAAATTACAGGGTGTACTTTTGATGTACAAATCATTACTGAAAGTATGTATCGTACGAGAGCTGGCTAAATCAAGACTTATTTATTGAGCATGCGACTTTCATTGGTAGGAACGTAAAATTTAAGGGTAATTCTGCACAGCACTTGCATTCAACACTCAATTATAAATGAATTTACTGAACTGCAAATTTGAGTAGTTGACTAGACTTGCTATACTGTCGCTGGCCTGAATTCCATATAAACAATACACTGGACTTATGCCAAGGCAAGTTTATGCTATGTCCACTTTGACATACTATAAATATAATTTCTAATACCATTATATGTCTAAATGACATGAGACAAAGACTGAATGACTAAGAGACATGCAGATATCATTACAGTTGCCATTTTTATACCATTCTGTGAGGGTTTGCTGTATATGTGTAGAATATAATTAAAACTCATTAGGACTTAGGGACCGCTCATTATTTATTGTACAGGGGGGGATTGAGGAGAAACTGGGGGGGGCTTTAAATTTTTCAAAACCTGAAAGGGGGGGCTTTGAAAAAATACAGAGAGACGAAAGAAGGGGGCCTTTGAAAATATTTACCAGTTTGAAAAACATTAGTAGTTTTAAAAATGTATCACAAAACAACTTAACAACAAATAACAATATTTATAGACTTTAATATTCATAAATGGAAGTCAAATAAAAAGTCTCTCGTGTTCATGTAAATAGACAATTCCCATTATAGACTAATTTTAGAACTAGGCTAAGAGATGCAAATCAAGGCCGGATTTTGGTGCAAATAGTGGGGGAGGTGGACAAAAATTTTAGGAGAGGTGCAGTGGTCTAGCTCACAACTCCCATGGAAAGTTAGGGCTTATTTTCGAACAGGCCAATATCAACGAGGTGAGGTATGCATGTAGTGTACATAATATGTACCAGTGTATTAATGAATTATGAATGTATGACTCCAATCTTGCCCTTCATTACAATTGCTACCCTGTTTCTTTCAAAACATTGCATTAAAAGGGTGCTTGACATGGCTATCACTGTTTCAATTTTACAGAGAAAACTTTCTTACGTCACAAAGTGTAGATCCTAAGCAACCATCACATTTTCACTTTGTTCCATCATTGAAACTTTCCAAAGGGGAAGTGCATGACCTTTCAAGAGAGGTGGAAAAATTCTCAGGGGAGGTGCAAAACGATCTCTGGGGAGGTGCGCACCTCTCCACACTTCCCTCAAAATCCGGCATTGATGCAAATAAATCACCACAGCTAGAAAGAGCATACTAAAATAAGTAAATTATTGCCAAGTTTGGTTGCGAATTGTTGCAAAATACGGAAATATATAGCCTTGCAAAGTTTGCAAATTTTGTACACTTTTGTATTGCATGCGAAAATTGCAATTATACAAAAGAATACAAAATTTGCAAACTTTGGAAGGCTATATTTTCTACATATTTTACAACATTTTGCAACCAAACTTTGGAATTTTACTCATTTTAGTATGCCCTTCCCGGGAATATACTTTTTTGCTAAGATAAAAAATTAGTCTATAATGGGAATGTCTATTGGTCCCCATTACCTATTTTTCTTTCTCTAAAATAAACAGCTAGAGTTTTTGTTTCTCTAAATAAAGATAAAGAGCTAGAGGGGGGGGGGGATTTATGTTCTTGTTTTGCCTGTTGGGGGGGCTTTGAAAATTTTACTTGTCTTAAGAGGGGGGTAACGAAAAAATATTATAACTGTAGAGTTTCTCCTCAGTCCCCCCCTGTACAATAAATAATGAGCGGTCCCTTAGTGATGATATCTGCACCATAATCATTTTTTAAGTTCATTATTGCACTTATAATCTTTTAATGTTATCTTTCCCTAGTGGTTTCTCATGCCTTTAAAAAGGCCTTCACTGATGAAGATCATAAACTTTCCTCTGATGAACATAAGTCAGGTATAATTTGACTGTTTCCCATAGTTCTTGATAAAACAATTCAATTTAACTACGTATCTTTATATAATTATTTACTTTCACATTCAGTTCAAAGAGTGTTCAGACTTGCTGGAACTGTTTCAAAGAAAAATGATGAAACAATATCTCAGGAAATTTTGGTAGGATTTTGAATGCCTTCTGTTTACTTGTACTTGCCATTGACTAAAAAATCTAATCCTTTTCCAGACGAAACTGTCATCGAGTGATAGACATAAATCAAAAGTAAAAGTCAACACTAGAAACGAGTTGACTGTTGATGCAATTAATGCGAAACTGAGAGAGACAAAAAAGGTTTGAATGAATTTAATGTTGTACCTTATCTTTGTACATCTTGAATATGGCAACTCGCAAGGTGGAAAAAATAGTCAAGCCCAGGAAATGTTAAACAGCTGTAGGAAATTTGTTAGATTGAAGGGAAACCCTAATTATATGTATGTTCTATTATTGGCCCAACAATATATGGTTGACAGACATCTTTCCTGGAAGTTAAACCATGGCCAACTGGATCACTATGTTTAGGCAGTGGGGAGAAGGGGGCAACTCCCCCTCCCCCAATAATTTTGGAGAGCCTCTGAATGATCTAGCTGAATAACTAGCTGTGTAACAAAGATGTAACAATAATGTTTCAATCATGAAAACCTTGATAGGCTATGTATTGCATGAAATTTAAAGGAAAAAAGTTTAAAAACTAAGATTTTCAGGACCAAAAGAAGGCTATATGTTGGTAAACTAAGTTTGCCCCTCCAACATTGTGTTTAGGCACAAATGTAGTACACAAATATTCAGTTGACCTGTAGGAAATGTTTATTTCCACAAGCAGTCCTGGGAAGAAAATTATTTTCTCTAACCCTAGTACAAGTTGCTTGTCGTGTTACTCTGAGTGTATAATCACACCGGGCAAGCTTGACAGGCATTTTCAAGCTTGCTTGGTGTGGATATACACTCAGAGTAACACCACAAGCATCATATTCACCTGAGTACATTACACCAACACAGAAAAAACCTGGTATAAGTTGTTTATAAGTACAAGTTCTTGTTTTCTAGTTGGCAAGACAAACATCCAGATACAAAGTTGTTTCCAAACACAGAAACGATGTTGAGGATGATGACGAAGATACGGATGAGGTAGATGCCGCAATGCAAGAGATGATGAAACTATATCAACTGTATGATGTGGTGTTAGATGAAGCTCAATCTAGGTGATATATGTAGGAATTTATCTTGTGTTAATAGACAGTTCCAGCTATCGACTAATTTCTTTATCTAGACAAGAAAGACGAAATATATCGTTATAGCTCAAAAGAGCGTCCTAAAATTAGTAACATTGCAAAGTTTGGTTGCGAAATGTTGTAAAATACGGAAAATATAGCCATGTGAAATTAGCGAATTTTCAGTATTTTAGTATTACGCGCGGTAAA